TCGCCATTTTTACGAATTGTCAATTTTCCGAAAAGTCATTTTTGCGAATTGTCATTTTTGCGAAAAATACAATAGTGAATTTATAGACCTACAAGTTTTCTATTGTATTTTTCGCAAAAATGACAATTCGCAAAAATGACTTTTCGGAAATTTGACAATTCGTAAAAATGTCGATTCGCGAAAATGACTTTTCGGAAAATTGACAATTCGTAAAAATGGGGATTCACAAAAATGACAATTCGCAAAAATAACAATTCGTAAAAATAACTTTTCGCAAAAATGACTATTCGCAAAAATGGCAATTCGTAAAAATGGCAATTCGTAAAAATAGCGATTCGCAAAAGTGACAATTCGCAAAAATGACATTTCTCAAAAATGACAATTCGCAAAAATGTCAATTCGCAAAAATGATTTTTCGCAAAAATGGCAATTTGTAAAAATGGTGATTCGCAAAAGTGACAATTCGCAAAAATGACATTTCTCAAAAATGACAATTCGCAAAAATGACTTTTCGAAAAAATTACAATTCGTAAAAATGGCGATTCGCAAAAATAAATTTTCGGAAAATTGACAATTCGTAAAAATGGCGATTCGCAAAAATGACAATTCGCAAAAGTGTCATTTCGCAAAATTGGCTTTTCGCAAAAATGAGTATTCGCAAAAGTGCAGTTCGGTAAAATGACATTTCGGAAAAATGACATTTGGAGAATAATCATGCGCCCCCATTCACACGTATACAAAGTACTCTCTTTTGCACACATAAAAATTAGATTATTTGTATTAGGGACTTTTGGCCAAAATATACAATTAATTGTTTTCATCTTAATATTGCATTTTAATTTAAACATCCTAATAATTTTCCTATCTTCTCATTTTACTCAAGAGTAGGGTTCTCAACCTCTTAGTTGAATCAATAACTAAGTAGAGGGGGAATCTACTACCTTTACAATTTTTTTTTGTCCGAAGGACACGTGAGTTAAAGTTTTAAAAATTAATCTTTAAAATTTCCATTTCTAAATCCTACTTTAACACTTGGAGTACTAAATAACTGTGTCAAACAGTTTTGGAAAAAAAAAATTTTTTTGCAAAATATTTAGATTTGAAAAATTGGAAACTGAAAAAAATGACTTTTTTTAGAATTTTTATTTCGAAAACTATTGATTCTACAAGAAAAAATCATTTATTCAATATTGTAGAGAAAATGTCAATTTTTTATAATATTAAAAAAAAGTTAAGAAAAATTAATTTTTCAATAATTTGTTTAAACAATAATTTTTTATTGTTAAAAAAAGCAAAGTACATCATGGAATTTTCTAGAAAAATTATTTTCTCAAAATTTGAACCTTCCTTAATAAGTGGTTAAATTTTTAAAGAAGTGATTTTTGATGTTTTTGAGAAAACAATTTTTGAAGTTTGCGCTACGAGTTTTTGTGCGTTGCGCTAACTAAGCAGCGCCTATATCAGTGTATTTTAAAAGATGATATGACCTTTACTGTTCGCCCCTAATACATTTACTAATTATATACGTATATATTATTATTATAAACAGTTTAACAATATATTTTTAACTTTTGTATAAACATTATTTTCCTTTTTTAACCCATTAATGCCCATGGGCATTAATTGGACATGGATTGTTGTTGTAAATGGACATATTGTTGTAAGAATGTTATAAACAATTAGCCTGCATTTATACTGTATGAGGTAGAAGGATCGTTTTTTAGGTAAAAATTTTGTTTAAAAAATATTTAACGTCAAAAACTTTCCTAATTAAACTAATTTTGTTTAAAAAAATTTTTAACTTCAAAAACGACGTGACTTTCAATTACAAAAATATTAGAAGTTCATCTTCATTTTACTATCATATATTAACCAAAACTTTTTTGATTTTATATTTTGGACCACTTTTGTGGACTCCATAGCGCACACCGATTTCTACGACCCTTTGACTTGTCACTAGTACATCTATATATATTTTAATTTAAATTAAATTTTTTTGGTTAAATTTTCTTCTGAATATGTTCCCTTAGATGTAAAAAAATTTTAGTTAATAAGAATATATTATACTTTAGAAAAAACCCTCTATTTGACCAGACTTCCCCCTTAAGTTATAAGCAAATTTAGGATAAACCAGAAAGTAGTCGGCCACCTTATAGTAGCCGGACACTTTTTAATTTTGAATAGCTATAAAACCGTATGAGATAAAAATATTTTGTTTGTTGCTAATCATTTCTAAGGTGATCATAAACAAATCTAAGCTTTTGTAATTAAAAAAAAATTTTTTTTACGCACTGTTAAAAATTTCTGTAATTTTACAGCAACTTTACAGTACAAACGTACTGTGAATTTACAGTTTTTGCTGTAATAACACATAAATGTAGTAAATTCACAAAAATGTTGTAATTTTCACAGTAAAACATAACAAATACAGCAAAATTTCATTGTATTCGAATAATTCACAGCAAAAAAAATTGTACTTTTTATTTACAGTAAATTGTTTGCGAAATCACAGTATAAAACTCAAAGAATTTTACAGATATTCATTTTGTGATTTTAGCTGAGGTTTTTTACATTATATCTAGCATTGACTGAATTTTAACCTTAAGAATATGATTTTAAGTCCTAAAAATATAGCTGAATCATTTTTTAAGCTTAAAAATAGTTTCAATAAAAACTATTTTTTAATTATATTGCATTTTAGTAGTGAATAATTTTAAACTGAAAAGAAGAATAGAGTATGGTACACATGTTTCTTATATTTTATACTGTATAACAGATTTAGTTTATTTTTATTTTTTGTCTTATGCAAAATTTTAATTTAACTTTACTTCAGTTCGGAGATGTATAGTTTTAATAAATATAACATTAATTTTTATAATTTGACAAAAAGGTAATATTTTATTCCTTATTAATTTGCGATTATCACATTAAGTTAATTCATTTTTAACTGTCGATCGAAGAAAAGTCATTCAACATTCATATAATAAATAATTTGATTTGACTATTTCGCGTCGGCCCAATATATACATAATACTTTGCAAGAGACTTTCATAGCCTCCCTTGGTCGAGCGCGTCTAGGCGCAGCTCCCAAGGTTGATGGCTCCATACAAGATAGACAACACTATATACGAATAAGGGTTCAAATCACAACAGAATTTTCTAACAGTGCGGTTTTTGAAAGCTTTTTTAAGTGTCCGATTACTGTCGGATTCTTACTTGTTTATTTACAAATTTTTTTAACAAATAAAATCTTTTTTTCATAAACATGATTGGTTTAATAGTTTTGTGTTATCGTAAGGAATAAAATCACATAAAAGAATTCGAAAAAAAATATGAATTGCACTTTTAAAACAGTGTTAATTAAAAAGATTGCTTCAGGTGGCCAACTACTGTCGGATTCTTACTTTTTTTTGTAAATTTTTTTAACGAATAAGAAATTTTTTGTTGTAAACATGATTGGTATACTAGTTTTGTTGGAACATTAGGAACAATTACACATGGAAGAAATTTTACAGAAATTTTAATTGTAATTTTTAAACAGTATTCATAAAAAAGATTTTCTTAAGTGGCCGACTACAGACTGTCTGGTTTACTCTATTTAAAGTTTCTGTTTACAAAGTAAGGTGAAAAAATTTTTTAAAAAAGTCAAGGACGAAAATAAAAATCGATACTTACAATGAATATATTACATTATCATTGATACACTGAAAGAAAAATTTAATTGAATTAAGAAAATTTGAATTGGTTGAAGTAAATATCGGGATTGCATAGGGTCGATCTAATTATGCGATTGGCTCAAGAAAATGATTTTCTTGGCATAGTATACTTGGTAGGAGAGTATATGTTCTTGATCCAAGAAAATATGGAATTCGATCAAGAAATTAAGTAACATGTAAGAAATGCAGAATATATTAATTCAATATCATTTGTGTATCAAATCAAGAAAATATGTTCTCTAACCGAGAAAATATCTTCTTGATTTGAGAAAATTATAGATTTCAATGAAAAAAATATTTTCTCAATTCAAGTAAATTATTTACTTGAATCCACCCTCCTTTCCCCCATCCCATCATTTCTAATACTTTGGTCAAACATTTTTATTATTTAATTAATTAACATTTATATTTTTTATTTAAATAATTAAACAATTGTTATTTTACATAATATTTACATTTAATTAATACTTATCACAAATACAACAAATATACCTTGAAAGAAAATTTTCCACGGTCGGAGGAATTAAACCCGGGTTGCACGCGTCAGAAGCCGTACCGTTACCACTATGCCATCCAAGCCTCAAGGGACAGTTTTCAAAAACTGCTATTTAAGTTGCATATCCATTTGAAGAGAAATATTTTCTTGGATCAAGAACACCAAAATTGTGTTAAGTAAAAAAAAGTCTCAAAGCAAATGAATAAAATGATTTGATTTAAGAAACACAAATTCTTCAGACAATACTTTACTATTTCGCTTAAGAACATAATATTTTTGATTAAATCCTTTTTGGTACTTCGGTTAAGTAAAATATTTGGTTGTAGTAATAACATATTTACTTCCACCAAATACTAAATTATTAATTCAAGAACTCTACCCAATGCTCATAATTACTTGGCACAAGAAAATAAATTTCTCTCTTCAAATAAATATGGGATTGATTCAAGTAAATTGTGTCAAGTAAATGCATTTACTTGGTTCAATTACATTTTTTTCAGTGTACAAAGAATGTCAACAATATTCAGCTTATTGTAATGCTTTGATTATTTATCTTTATAATTTGATATAATTTTTATAAAATAAATTTTTATTATATATTATAATATTTTTTAAAAATTGTATACTATATATTAAATAATTAAAAATTTTATTATTATGAAATTTTTAGCAAATAAAATATTTCATTTACCCAAGTTTAAAAATGATTTTTTTTTATTTTTCATAAATGTAGAAGAAATTCTATCACAGTTCGTTTTTTATTAAATATTTTGTTATATTGATTACAGAGTTATGCAGATATGATCCGTATCATTTAATGGATTTTGGAGTAGGTGACGCTGATGTTATACAAAGTAACATAAATAAAGAACCACCTTCTTCACCTTTAGTGCCCTCAACAATATCAACATCTTTTTCTCTACCTACTGGTCTTTTGCAACCTTCTCTCTTTACAACAATACCACCTTTTATGCAATCAGTCAATATTCCACAAGCGTGTACGAACTCGCCATCAGGTATATTTTTTATTTTCTTTATCTATACAAATAAAATCAGAATTTTGTATGTACATTGCTCAAAATTAATTTTTTCTTGTATAATTTATCATTTTAAGTAGTAAAGGTGTCAAATGTGCCATGAATAAAAATGCTGTCTGTCTGGCGTCGATATTTTGTACAGGCTTCACTTAAAATCGACTTGACCGGTCAAAATGAAATTTTACAAATATTAAACTGAACGAAAGTTATGACTGTTTTCCAAAGAAGTCAAAAAAATGCAAATTTTCTGTTTTATTTAGACTGATGCGACATAGATTGATAGCTATTAAAAACTGCATGACATAAGTATAAGTTGTACCTTCACAACGCACATCTGATGTGCATTTTAGCGACAGTAATTTAAATTAACAATTATGCAATGAATGATATAAGTAGATCAAATTTTTTATAATACTTCTCTCGTTCAAAAAAAAATTGACATTCAATAAATTTTTATTATTTTGTTTATTATTATTATTTTATTTTTGTTTTCACGCGTAGTTTTGAATAAAAATATTTTTAAATAATTTACGATAAGATTTTAAAATTTTTAAAATAAAATTTCATTTTTAACAATGTATATATCGATTAATTTTTTTAAAAATTTTTGTAAGAAACTACCACTAAATTAACAATTTTTAAGCCTTGTCCGATCGTGGGAAACGATGGGATGTATTTATTTTAAAATTTTTAATTTTTATATACGCAGTGGTGGCCAAATAACTAACTTGCCATTTGACAAAATCACACAAATTTTTCACAGCAAATGTGTTTTCAGACTAATGGCCAATTGATCCGCCCTAGGATAAAGTGCCTGTTAGTTAACTGACAGAATAAATTTATCAGGAGGTTAAATTTAGTTAAACTGCTGGTTAGCATTTTTGGGTTGATCCACGTAAATACAAGTGCCAGTTAACTATCTAGCAGATAAATAACGAAAAGTAGGGAATTCTAGTACTTTTTGTATTAGAATTGACGCTCTGGCAGCACTGACGCTAAAAAGCTGATGCTTAGATTGCCCGAGTTGATGCAAATAATAAGGTCCCGATCAAATAACTCGACCGACGCTCGGACTGGTCGCTCGAACGCTAGTCAAGACCGTCAAAATAGCAAAAAAAAAATGTCGAAAATTTAAATATTGAAACGCACTACCATTTAGAGCATAAAAATGCGCAACTTTTTTGTCTTTGAAATTTTTTTGTAGGATTATTGTTTGTAATAATAATGGACAAAAACTGAAATTTTTTCATTTTTCAATCTCATTGAATTTCAAAACATAAATCGTCTTTTCTCAAACAATTCTTCATGAAATTAATAAAAAATTAGTGTACTTACGCATTGGGATCTACTGAAGACGATTAAACTATTAAAACTTGTTAAAAAATTTATTATTAAGTTATTTATTAATGTAAACAAACTCGTGTCGGTAAATAGGATTTCTCTACTTTGACGAGAAAAAGTGTGCGGGGAACTTTCGAGTTAACAGAAGTTTCAGTGAGAAATTTGTTTATTAGTATATTAAAAAGTTTTTTGAAAATTTTCAAGCCGTTTCATTGGAAACTTTAAGAAATATGATCGTTTTTCGAAAATGGAATTTACGCGTCAGCGCCACCGTCACCACAGAAAACGTGCCATGCATGAAAACAATTTCCTCATAAAAAATATTGTTCTATATTTTTTGCAATGTTTACATTATTACTTAAGTAATTTATTGAACTTTTCTTCGAAAATTATTTATTATCCTTAAGTTTGTTTAATTCAGTTTTAATATTATTTAATACTTCTTTCTAATATCTAACGTGTGGAATATTACATGTTATTGTTTTTAAGTATATCGATCTTTGAGGTTAGAAATCAACCGGCTGCCGTATTTTGTTATGATTTTATTATTGTGAGTTTTATTCAATATGACGAATTTTTATATTTATATTGTAAAAGAATCAATTTTGACAATTATGTCGGAAAATAATTATACTCACGGTGGTCTTGAAGCAAAATAAAGTTTTTCTACGTCGCCAAAAAAAATCATTTGTTCAATCTTTTAGAGCGTCATCTCAAGATTCAAAATCAATAAATATTGAAATCCCAGCTGCTCGTCCTTGCGTCTTTTCAACCAATACTGTTTTCATTGAGGTGTACTTGCGTTTGCGAAGGCAAAATATTGGCCCCACTTTACTGTTTTTTTCGCAGTCATAATATTTAAAAGATTAAAAACTGTTTTTGCACCTTAAAATATAATATTTAAACTACAAAAAGAAATAATTGTTTCTTTTTTCAACTATTATTTACGATTTGTAGAGGGCGCCAAAGTATGGCGATCTCTAATTCGTAAGATTTTGCGGTGCCCCCGATATAGCCACTCCTGACAGTATGAAATCAAAAAAACAAAATTTTTTTCTTAGTATATATAAATACCTAGTGGACGTATGTGATGGAATTAAAAAAAAGTAAAAAAACGAAAATGGCGCCCTTTTAAAGTAAAAAATTTAAAAGATCAAAATCATCGTTTCTTAAAAATTGACTTTAAAAGGTCGCCATTTTCGTTTTTTTTTACTTTTTTTAATTCCATCACATACGTCTACTAGGTATTTATGTGTACTAAGAATTAAATTTTGTTTTTTGACTTTAGACTGTCAGGAACTGCTGTATCGGGAGCACCGCTAACTCTTACAAATTAGAGATCGCCATACTTTGGTGCCCTCTACAAATCGTAAATAATAGTTGAAAAACGAAACAATTGTTTCTTTTTGTAGTTTTAATATTGTATTTTAAGGTGCAAATAAAGTTTTTATTATCTTTTATTATCTTTTAAATATAATTAGGACTTTTTTCGGAGCAAGCAGGTGAATCTATTCATCGACATTTTTTGAAAACTTGGAAAAGTTATAAAGTTAACGATTTAAATCAGGGACCGTCACGGAATCAAAACAAAATTAAAAAATACTTTTGTTTTGATTCGGATATGGGTATCAGAATCAAAATTCCACTCTATTTAGTTCTGATTCCAATATCAAAATTCCACTCTATTTAGTTTTGGTTCTAATATCAAAATTCCACTCTATTTCGTTTTGGTTCCAATATCAAAATCAAAATTCCATTCTATTTAGTTTTGATTCTAATATCAAAATCAAAATTCTTTTTTGTTTTAATTTTGATAAAATACTACTGCGCATGTATAAGTCTCATTGAACCTAAATTTTGTTGCAAATGTCAAATATATCAGAAGATAATATTGTTTTTACATAAGAAATCTGAAGTAGAATTCGAATCGACTTCTGTTTCTATAAGAAAACCGAATTCCAGTATTACAGTATCAGAATCAAAATAGGAAGTAAATTTTGTTTCGTTACAGTATCAGAATCAAAATAGGAAGTGAATTTTGTTTCGTTACAGTATCAGAATCAAAATAGAAAGTAAATTTTGTTTCGTTACCGAATCAAAATCAAAATACATTAATAATTTCGTTTTGTTTTGGAATATCGTAACGAAATCAAAATTTGATTTCCGTGACGGTCCCTGATTTAAATCATCCTGCATACCTAGAGAAATTGAAAAGTGCTGTTACACAATTTTCTTCTCTGAATATTTGAATTACAGTTTTGTAAATATACATTAAATATGTATGTATATTGTGTATTATTGTACAAGTAGTTTTATCGTATTAAAAAGTATCAATTGTTTAATCATATAAATTTGTAACTATTTTATTAAAAAAATACCACTCTTATTTGCGACCAGTTGTTCTTTATTAATTTTTATGTGCACTCACCATTAATAATTTTTTTATTTTTATTTTTTTATATAACAAATTATTAAAAAATGTTCAAATTATAAAATCTAACTCAAATTAAATTGATATATAAATTTACTAAAACGGAAAGAAAATAATTTTAGAAATTAAAAAATTTTTTTTAATGAAAATCTTATTTTTTCGAAAAAACGCTAGGACGAGCAGCTGGGATTTTAATATTTATTGATTTTGAATCTTGAGATGACGCTTTAAGGGATTGTACAAATGATTTTTTTTGGCAACGTAGAAAAACTTTATTTTGCTTCAAGACCACCGTGACTCAAAGAGGCAGAAAAAGAACACGAAAAGAAAGTGACTGGAAACAAAACAAAAAAAAGCAACTAGAAATAAGGTATGTATTTATCATAATAGTTAATATATATTTAATATAATTAAGAAAAACACTGAAAAAAATTATTTAATTTTAGTCATTCGTTATTTTACTGACAAGGAATAATATTTTTTTGCCAAAATTTTTACAATTTTTAATGAATTATGAAAATTATTCCACACGTTAGATATTAGAAAGAAGTATTAAATAATATTAATACTGAATTAAACAAACTTAAAGATAATAAATAATTTTCGAAGAAAAGTTCAATAAATTACTAAAGTAATAATGTAAACATTGCAAAAAATATAGAACAATATTTTTCTATGAGGAAATAGTTTTCATGCATGGCACGTTTTCTGTGGTGACGGTGGCGCTGACGCGTAAATTCCATTTTTCTCGTCAAAGTAGAGAAATCGTATTTACCGACACGAGTTTGTTTACATTAATAAATAACTTAATAATAAACTTTTTAACAAGTTTTAATAGTTTAATCGTCTTCAGTAAATCCAAATGCGTAAGTACACTAATTTTTTATTAATTTCATGAAGAATTGTTTGAGAAAAGACAATTTATGTTTTGAAATTCAATGAGATTAAAAAATTAAAAAATTTCAGTTTTTGTCCATTATTATTACAAATAATAATCCTACAAAAAAATTTTAAAGACAAAAAAGTTGCGCATTTTTATGCTCTAAATGGTAGTGCGTTTCAATATTTAAATTTTCGACATTTTTTTTGCTATTTTGACGGTCTTGACTAGCGTTCGAGTGACCAGTCCGAGCGTCGGTCGAGTTATTTGATCAGGACCCTAAATTATATAGATTTCTTTATTTGATAAAATAATTCTTTTATTACT